GGGCGCGCCGGGCTCCCGTCTGGCCCGCCCGCCCTGACTCACCCTGGCGGCCCGGGAACTCTGCGGGAGTCCCGGTCGCTCTGCTCCCAGGGACCCAGCGGTCGGCCCCAGCGTCCCGCGCGGATCTGTGAGTATCTCTCCCTCCTGGGGTCGTGGGGCGCCGAGACCCAGGCCTGGGCTGGGGGCAGGGCACCCAGGTGGGCAGGCACGGGCGTGGCGGCAGGATCCTCTCAGGGAACTGGGAGGGTGGCGACAGAGGCTCGGCCTTAGTCAGCCCAAGGCGCCTGTCCAGGGAGCCGCAGGCCGGGCCAGGGCAGGGTGAAATCACTGGCCGGGGTCACTGTAAGGGTCTTGATTCGCTCTGCTTAGCGCTGAGAAAGCAGCTCATTGTGTGAGCCCCTCCGAGCCCTGGGCCCTCCCACTTGGGGTCCTCATCACAGCCCCCTCTGCCTCTCTTGAGACCCAAGACCAGAGGCTCCCCGAGTCCTGTGGGGTGGCTTGGAAAACTACTGGATGGGGAGTACCCAGGACACTTGGGAGTGTCCTGACACAGCTCCCCACCCCGGGCCTCAGTTTCCCTCTGTATAAGACCCCAAGGCCCTTTCCAGGGTGGGCTGGGGCGCAGGGCGGCTAGCCCAGGATGCCCAGCCCGCTGCTGGAGGCAAGCTGGGCTGGGCGGGCTGGGAGACGCCTCCGTGGGCTCGGGGAGCGAAGCCAGGGCTGGGCAGGGGCTTGTAAGGATTCTGGGCTGACCAAGAGCCCCCCCCCATCTCTGCTGGAACCTCCTCTGAGGTGGTTTGTGTTGGTTTTTTTGGCAAAGATGTCGTCTCCCGAGAAGGAACATAGAAGACCCATCAGATAGACAGAACTTGGGGGAGGGGTTACCCCAAATGCCACTTGTAGCTGTGAGACCTTGAGCAGGTTATTCGCTCCCTGCATCTGGAAGAGGATCTCAGCCCCCCACTCAGAGCTGGGATAAAACGAGGCGCTGGCGGCACCTGCCCTCACCAGCCCTCACCAGCCCCACTCGGACGAGGGGGCCAGCCCCGAGTGGGCCGAGGCTAATGGTCAGTCTGGACCATCGGGTTGAGTCATGGAAACAGATAATGACACCCCGTGCCTGCCCGAGCCGCTGCGCACACCTCGCTCCGCAGCACCTCCGGCCCGCCCGCCCGCCGGCCCTGCTCTCCGCCGTGGCCGGTGGCGCTGGCCGAGCTTCCAGCACGGAGTCCCGCAGGCGGCCAGGGCTCCCCCGTGGGGTGCTCCTGCCGGGGCCCCGGAGCCGTTTCCGGGTTCGGCTGTCTTCCGGGGTGCGCTGGGGCAGGGGTGATAGGGCCAGAGAGGCGCCGGTGTCCTGACCGGGAGGAGGGCACGACTGCCCGGCCCCGTGCCCCCGGCCAGCTGTGACTGCACGGTGCTCCCACACGCAGCCCCGGGTGTCCTTTCGACCGCTGCCGTGCTCGGGCCCCGAGGGCGGCTGAGCTGCCCTGGGCGGGCTGCTGTGGGCGCTGGTGGCCGCGCTGACTGATGCTTGGGCGTCTGCTCGGATCCGGTGTGGAGAGGAGCGGGCGGGACGGGCCATGGCCCGAGGGAGCCTGTGCTCTGTGCACCCCTTGCGTGTGCCTGGTTCCGTGTGAGTCAGGGCCTGAGTCAGGGGGCCTATGAGTCCTGGCGTGGCACTGCCCCTCGCCTACCCATCTGGGTACCACAGTCAGCCTCTCCTGGGATTAAAGGGTGTGGCGGGCTGCCCCACCCTCATCCTGAATCCTGGCGCCCCACCCCATCCTCACCCTAGTCAGGCAGGACCAAAGCTGGAGGCAAGGAGGTGTGGGAAGGCCAGACCGAGCGGTGGGACGGGGCTCCGGCGTCCAGGCCGCTCCCCAGGGAGGCTAGCGGGCTGCCCGGCCGCCTCTCCCTTCCTCGCCCGGCTCGTATCCAGGATATTGGAGAGGAGGACAGCCGGCTCCAGGAAGCCCGTGTGACCACAGGGGTGTAGGCTGGAGAGCCTGAGTTGGGGGCCGCTGGCCGGGGAGCCCTTCTGAGGCAGACGCAGGCTTCCCTCTGCCTCTGGCCTCAGGCAGGGGCAGTGCTGTCCCAGCTCCTGGCCACGCCCCTGCCCGCCCCTGCCGGACTTGCGCCTGGCTGTCTGTATCTAGAATAATGATACCTTGGTGCAAAATTAAAGTCAGGGACAGACAGAGTGGGCAGGCCGCCCGGGAGCTCGGCGGCCCGGCCCATCCCGACCGTAGGTGTCTCCCCGGCTCTCCCCAGGAGAGACGTCTGTGGTCGCATCTCCTGCCCCTGGCCAGCCGGCACCCTGCTGCCCCTTCCTCAGGACCCAGGTCTCTGTCTTCTACCTCGCACCTAGGCAGGGCTGCTCTGGACCCCGGGGGTCTGAAGCACAAGGTCCCTGCCCCACAGGGCTGACCAGCCTTCAGCTTGGCCACTCCCTGCCCTTGGGGCCTGTAACCAGAGCCAGGCTACAGCCGGCTTTTCCAGTTGGAGGTTGGAGGTGGTGCCCAGAGCACCCCTGAAGGGGGTGCGGGGCCCAGACTCCGGAAGTCCTGAGCCTCAGGACTTAACTTGGTCCAGTCGCTGGCCACCCTGATCCCGGCCTCTGGAGTCCGAGGGTAGCAGTGTCGCGGCGGGAGGAGATGCCCAGGTTCTGGGCGAAGGCCAGGTAGACCATCCTGCCAGCGCTGAGAGAACAAGGAGGGTCAGGCCAGGCAGGGGTGCTGGAGGGCAGAGGGGCAGCACTGGCCCCAGGAGGGAGGCCAGGTCCGTGGGCTGGGGGCGGCCAGGCGAAGAGGAAGGGGCAGCGCTTCTGGTGGGGCTGGCGGAGGCCTGTGACGGGACCCCCTGGCGTCCGTGCCCGGCTGTCTGCCCGCAGGCCCACAAGCAGGCAGGATGATCCCGGTGGCCGAGTTCAAGCAGTTCACGGAGCAGCAGCCCGCCTTCAAGGTGCTCAAGCCCTGGTGGGATGTGCTGGCGGAGTACCTCACCGTGGCCATGCTCATGATCGGGGTCTTCGGCTGCACCCTCCAGGTAGGTGCCGGGCGGGGAGACCTTGCTTCAGGCAGGCCAGGCTGGGGGTGGGGGTGGGGAGAGCTGGAGGGCAGTGGCCTGGGGACTCCGGAAGTCTCCTTGTTACGCCAGGAGGGAACTGGAGGCCCAGCACACAGCTCTGACCCTTCCCCAGCTCTCGGTCTGGCTCCGGGACCTAGAAAGGCCTGCAGCCACGCTACCGACTGCGAGGGCGGCGAAGCAGCGCCAGGACCCACGCCCGGGGTCACTGAGCCTGAGCGGCCCTGGGTCCCCAGATCCTTCCCCCCTGCTGCCCTCCCCACCCCCAGGTGACGCAGGACAAGATCATCTGTCTGCCCAGCCACGAGTCCCGGGAGAACCTGTCCCAGGCGCCCTGCCAGCAGCTGCTGCCGCAGGGGGTCTCTGAGCAGATAGGGGGCCTCCGGGAGGTGAGCGGCCTCAAGAACAACCTGGACCTGCAGCAGTACAGCTTCATTAACCAGCTCTGCTACGAGACGGCCCTGCACTGGTACGCCAAGTACTTCCCGTACCTGGTCGTCATCCACACGCTCATCTTCATGGTCTGCACCAGCTTCTGGTTCAAGTTCCCTGGCACCAGCTCCAAAATCGAGCACTTCATCTCCATCCTGGGCAAGTGTTTCGACTCGCCGTGGACCACGAGGGCCCTGTCTGAGGTCTCTGGGGAGAACCACAAGGGCCCCGTGGTCGGAAGGGTGCCGGCCGCCGCCGTGGCGACAGTGGCGGGGGCGGGGAAGACGGGCGAGGATGAGAAGGAGACGGTGCTGGCGGAGCCTGAGAAGGTGGTCACCGAGCCGCCGGTGGTCACCCTGCTGGACAAGAAGGAGGGGGAGCAGGCCAAGGCCCTGTTCGAGAAGGTCAAGAAGTTCCGCGTGCACGTGGAGGAGGGCGACATCCTGTACACCATGTACATCCGGCAGACGGTGCTCAAGGTCGGCAAGTTCCTCGCCATCCTGGTCTACAACCTCGTGTACGTGGAGAAGATCCGCTTCCTGGTGGCCTGCAGGGCGGAGGCCTCGGGGGTGACGGGCTACGCCAGCTTCTGCTGCAGCCACACCAAGGCGCACCTCTTCTCCAAGCTGGCCGTCTGCTACATCGCCTTCGTCTGCGTCTACGGGCTCGCCTGCCTCTACACGCTGTGCTGGCTCTTCCACCGGCCGCTCAAGGAGTACTCCTTCCGCTCGGTGCGCGAGGAGACCGGCATGGGCGACATCCCCGACGTCAAGAACGACTTCGCCTTCATGCTGCACCTCATCGACCAGTACGACTCGCTCTACTCCAAGCGCTTCGCCGTCTTCCTGTCCGAGGTGAGCGAGAGCCGCCTCAAGCAGCTCAACCTCAACCACGAGTGGACGCCCGAGAAGCTGCGGCAGAAGCTGCAGCGCAATGCCCGGGGCCGGCTCGAGCTGGCCCTCTGCATGCTCCCGGGGCTGCCTGACACGGTCTTCGAGCTGGGCGAGGTGGAGGCGCTGCGGCTGGAGGCCATCGGCGACATCGCCTTCCCCCCGGGGCTGTCGCAGCTGGTGCAGCTGCAGGAGCTCAGCCTGCTGCACTCGCCCGCTCGGCTGCCCTTCTCCTCGCAGGTCTTCCTGAGGGACCGCCTCAAGGTGATCCGCGTCAAGTGCGAGGAGCTCCGCGAGGTGCCCCTCTGGGTGTTCGGGCTGCGAGGCCTGGAGGAGCTGCACCTGGAGGGGCTCTTCCCCCCGGAGCTGGCCCGCGCCGCGGCCCTCGAGAGCCTGCGCGAGCTGAAGCAGCTCAAGGTGCTGTCTCTGCGGAGCAACGCCGGGAAGGTGCCGGCCAGCGTGACCGATGTGGCCGGGCACCTGCAGCGGCTGAGCCTGCACAACGACGGCGCCCGCCTGCTGGCCCTCAACAGCCTCAAGAAGCTGGCCGTGCTGCGCGAGCTGGAGCTGGTGGCCTGCGGGCTGGAGCGCATCCCCCACGCCGTGTTCAGCCTGGGCGCGCTGCAGGAGCTGGACCTCAAGGACAACCACCTGCGGTCCATCGAGGAGGTCCTGAGTTTCCAGCACTGCCGCAAGCTGGTCACGCTCAAGCTGTGGCACAACCAGATCGCCTACGTCCCCGAGCACGTGCGGAAGCTCCGCGGCCTGGAGCAGCTGCACCTCAGCCACAACAAGCTGGAGACTCTGCCCGCACAGCTGGGCATGTGCTCCAGCCTGCGCCTGCTGGACGTGTCCCACAATGGGCTGCGGGCCGTGCCGCCCGAGCTGGGCCTTCTGCAGAACCTGCAGCACCTGGCTGTCTCCTACAACGCCCTGGAGACGCTCCCCGAAGAGCTCTTCTACTGCCGCAAGCTCAGGACTCTGCTCCTGGGCTACAACCACCTGAGCCAACTCTCCCCGCAGGTGGGGGCGCTCAGGGCCCTCAGCCGCCTGGAGCTCAGGGGCAACCGCCTGGAAGCGCTGCCCGAAGAGCTGGGCAGCTGCGGGGGGCTCAAGAAGGCGGGGCTCCTGGTGGAAGACACCCTGTATGAGGGCCTGCCCGCAGAAGTTCGGGACAAGATGGAGGAGGAGTGAGGCCGGAGTGGGGCAGGCTGAGGTCAAGGCCTGCCAGATGCGGCCTCCTCCACCATTGTCTTTCTTTAAGGGAGGTGGCCAGGTGGGCCCAGGCCAGGAGGGGAGGGGCAGGCATGCCAGCTTTGGGCCCGGGCAAGATCCCGGGACTGGTTTGTCTGGAGAGCAGGAGGCTGTGGGCTGGGACGGGGCGGGGGCAAAGGGGTGGGGAGGATCGGCATGGCGGGATTAACTCTGTCATGGCGTTCTCAACCCAAACCACACCTCGGTCCCTGACTGGCTGGCCTGCCCAGTCCCGAGCCAGAGCCGCTGCTCCCACTGGACACTCCAGCTCAATCCGCGCCACGTGTGGGGGGAGTGGGAGCACATCCCAATGGGATTTCAAGCCACGCCCCCACACCAAACACCTTACATCTGGGGTTCTCTCCCAAGGAGGGGACACAGACACAAGGGACCAGCCCCTGCCTCCCCTGCTAATCCCTTATTTATAAGTTGTTTGCAGTGGAGAAAATGGTTCTCACATTTGGCTATGCGTCAAAATCAACATCTCCAAAAGAAAACATCCCGGGCTCCACCCATGAATGACTGACTCAGGTCTGGCTGGAGGCCAGGAACTTGCCTGTAGATAAGCATCCCAGGTAGTAGGTGCAGGTGGTCCTAACCTGTGAGCTGGGGAATGCTGACCACTAGAAAGGACTCCTGGCTGATGAGAGCAACCGCGCCGTTAGGACCAGGACCTCCTTCCTCGGAAAGTATTCACGCAACAGGCCCGTGAGGCTCTGTACATAACTCAGGCCATCAGTCAACAGACCCTCCAGAGAGCGGTTCGTGGACACCCTGAGGGGGGTGGACCCCTGGTGAAGGCCACATGCTGTGGAGATACATTTTCCTGAGAACAGGAAGGGGTCTGTTTCCGCCGGTGTGAAGGAGCATGTTATCGGCTGGCCCGCAATAACGCCAGTGATGAGAACGGCAATGCTGACCACGCAATAAATAACGCTAATGATGAGAACGGCAATGCTGGCCTCGTGTCCGTTCCTTTCGTTGCCTGTCTTCCCAGTCAACAGGCCAGTGACAGGCAGTGGTGACACTTGCTAGAATCAAAGGCCAGCGTCTGCCCTGGGGGCACAGGGCTGGAAGACAGAAGGTGGAGACCTTAGATAATTGCAAGGAAAAATCAGGTGGCCTCTTCTAGCTTTTGTTCTGTAGATTTCCCCTCCACTTTCCCTTTTACCCTCTTGACTCCACACTTTCTTATCTGCTTGACCCCTACACGGTCACCACTGAAGTCCCCGATGAGAGTCTGAAAGTCACAGCGCTGAGAGGCTGGACCAGGAGCCAGGGCACTGGGCGCAGCCGGCCTGAGCCTGTTCTCTTGCTCGCCTGCAAGATGCAAGTGTCTCCGCATTTAAGAGCCCACGCAGGCTGCTGAGTGGGGCCCGGGTTCCAGCTTCCAGCACCTTCAGGCCAGCTAAAGGGAGACAGCGCGCGGCAGGGGCGCAAGCCAGGCAGGGTCTGTCTTCCGTCGTCGGGGAGGGGGGCATTCGGGGAGGGACGGAGGTCTTCAATGGCCCACGGGGTCTGACCTGGGACTCAGGCCTTGACCCCGGCCAGTCGCCAACTTCAGGGGTCACCCGGACCGCTCCCCGGGACCCGACGGCTGCCCCGGCCCTCCTCGGCCGCTCCTGCCTGTCCTCGGCTGACTCTGGGTTTGCTGGAATGGAAAGGGCGCCCCACGAACGCCAATTATGGCGAGGAGGCGGCGATCAAGCATAGCGGGGATCCTAATGCAGCACCGTCCAAGGCGAGGGCGAGAAGGGCACTTCGGACGGAGCCTGGGGCCGGCGAGGGAGGGGACACGCGGGGCGGCGGGCTGAAGCGGAGGTGCGCGTGCGCGGCAGACGCCACGCGCGGGACGGCGTCTTTCCCCAGCACGCAAGCGCACCCTCCCCGCCTCCGCTCGCCACAAAACCTCGGTGAGTGGAATTCCACGTCGTGCCTGCCGCCGGGCGTCCGGGAGTTTGCGCATGCGTATCACCGCGGTGCGCGAGCTGCACGTCGGCAGCCGCTAGCTCTAGGTGGCGTCCTCCCGCTAAGACGAAGCACGCACGCGCAGTGGTTAGTAAGCAGGAAGGGCGGGTGCACGACGCAGGCATGCGCCGTGAGGGGCTCGACGGTGGCTCGCCGAGGTCATCCCGGCGCAAGCGCAGTGCGGTGTTTGTTTGCCGGACTGACGGGCGGCCGGGAGGTGCGCGGCGGCGGCGGCGGCGGGGAAGATGGCGGCGTCCTCCCTGGAGCAGAAGCTGTCCCGCCTGGAAGCGAAGCTGAAGCAGGAGAACCGCGAGGCTCGGCGGAGGATCGACCTCAACCTGGATATCAGCCCCCAGCGGCCCAGGCCTAGTAAGAGCGGCTGCGTGGGGGAGGGGGCGGGCGGGGCGGGGCGCCCAGAGCTGAGGCCCCGCCCCCTCGAGGCCCCGCCCCCGCATCCGGGGCCCTCTGGCTTCTCCTCTAGGTCCCCCCCAGCTGTCGGTTTGCGGGGTGAGGGTCACCGTGACCCAGGGGGGCGTTGGGCCAGCCCGGGGTTTCCCACTTACGGGACTCGGGAGCCCAGTCCCCCTGTTCTAGGCGAGGCCCCCCGCCCCCCGCCCGATGACTCGCCCCCATCGCGGGGATCCCGGCTCCCCCAACACCACGCAACGGTGGCCACAGCTGGGGCCCCCGCTAACAGCACACATGCCCTTGGCCGTCTCAGTGGCCGTCAGGAGGCCTCTTCTCGGGTCTGAGCGTGGGTCTTCTCCGGGGTCAGCGGATGAGTCACCAGCACACGCACCTGGCCTGGGACACCTGAGGTCACTTGGCCGCGTGTGATCCCACTGCCCTTCGACCCGGTGGTACTGCCACTCCTTGCACTGCTTGTCCACACTCCACCTGCATATATCAGGTCCCCTTGTCTACTGCTTGTTAGTTCACTGCCATCGTCTTGGAGACTGGGCCTGGCCCATTCCAAAACACAAGTCCACCCCTCAGACCCTTCCTCAGGTAACCTCCCCTACCCCGGATGTCCACACCCAGCTGCCCTGGGCTCCCGAGGCCAGTATCTAGGTGTCCCAGCTCACCCGTGCCTCCTCTCTGATCGCTCCTCAGCATGGACCCCCGGCATCTTGTCATCCAGAGCCAAGAGCCGCTTCCCACACACCCACGTCTGGCCTGGGATCACCATGGCCAGATCTAGTCCCTTGTTCTGTCTCACGGAACCCCCTCCCCAGCCTCGGCCCGGGGGCACCAGACCAGGCGAAGAGCACCTACCTCCTCTGTGATGTTTTCTGTGTCTCTGACGTGGGCGTCCTTCCCTGAAACGACCCCTGTGGCTCACTCGGGGGCCTGTGGGCTCACCTGACCGGAAGGCGAAAGCCTGCGGTCCCTGGGCCCTGCAGCCGCAGCCGACCCGCCCCCCCAAGTGGAGTCCAGTCCCCACACCTCCCTCTTCTGACCTGGGACCGACACGCTTCCTCCCTGGGGGTGTCTTGAGGACCTAGAGACACCCAGAGGCAGTGCTGGTGATGGTCACCGACGCAGGGAAAGCCCGCCTGGCCGGGTGTGCGCCACCGTGAGCGTGGACAAGGTGGCCCCGACGCAGGCCCGGGTGCCCCGCGGGGCCGTCGCCGTGCAGAGTGAGGCACGGCAGCCGTGGGACAGGCCCCAGAAGCCCCCAGCGCGTGTCTGTCGCTCCGCCCACCCTGCCCTGCCGTCTCTTTCAGTTTCTAGCCGTCTCTGCAGTTTGGCATCTCCCTCCTCCTCGTTATGGTTTGATTTCTTTTCTTTTGGACAAATCAGTTGTTTCTGTTGTGATTTATCGTGGTGTTGTTTTTTTTCTTCCTTTTCCCCATCCAGTTATTGTGATCACTCTAAGCCCTGCTCCTGCCCCGTCCCAACGAGCAGGTACCAGCCTTTTTATCATCGCCGCTTGGACAGTGCACCGTTGACCTAACCGCTGCCCTAGCTGCAGGCGCCGCCCTCGTGCTGTGTCCGCGCGTGTCCACGTGCATTTCTCTCACTTTCTCTCCTGCCACGCCGTCCACTTCCAGTGGAGCCCTCTGTGTCCTCTAAACTCCTGCTCCTCCCTCCTTTTGGGCTCAGGCCTGGACGCCCTCGAGGGGAAATGGACGCCCTCACCGACGGGCGTCACCCCAGCCCAGCGGGGCTTGAGTGTGCGCATGAGCTTGTGTGCATGTGAGCAGGAGAGTGGGGCCCACGGGTGCCTCCGCCCGGCGCAGGCGCCGCCGCCCTCTGCAGTCAGACCGGCCCTCCGGGGTGGCTGCGGCTTGGGTGCGGCACGTGGAGGCCCTGCTGCCCCGAGAAAAGGCCGGTAGAGCAGGGTGAGGCCCTGCGGGGCCGGCCCCTGGGGAAGGTGCGGGCGAGCAGGCGCTGGGGGTGCGGCCTGTGTGGGCAGCAGCGCTGCTCTCCCCGGGCTGCGCACAGGAGCCAGGAACACGGGGGTGCCTGTGTGGCTGGGGGTGCGAGGGGTACTTGGAAGGGCCAGGCCGTAACGATCCGGGGTGGCTGGGGGTGCGGGGGTTCTGGGGTGGTCCTGTGTGCACGTGGGACGAGGCCGGGGGTGGACGACGGGGGCCCTGGCTCCTTCGGGTGCCCCGGAATGCCGTCTGCACGTGTGTGCGGGTGCGCGTCGGGCTGGCAGCCGGGCCTCGAGGCTCCCGTTAGCCGAGTCCTCCTCTGTGGCTCTCGCTCTCCCTCTCTCACTCAGTCTTTCGCTCACTCCGCTGTCCTGACCTGCCGTGCCTCCCATCACACCTCTGTGACCTCTGACCTCAGGACTTGTGTTATCCCCCACTGTGGCACTGACCCTCTGTCCTCCGCCCCCAGTCCCACCACGCTTCTGTTTGTGGGGCCACCTTTGCCGGCCCTGGGGCAGCCCTCAGAGCCCCGACGGATGGCTCTCGGGAGGGGAGGGGGCACGAGATGTGTAGGGGTCGGCTGTGCTCCCGCCCCGGGGCGCGCAGTGCAGGACAGAAAAGGGGCCCAGAAGCCTCTCGAGGGGCAAGGACACCAGCAGGTAGTGCAAGGTGGGGCGTGAGGGGTGCTCA